GCTAGTTGGGTACTGATTCAACATATCGATATTTTCTTTGTATTTTAGGGGTAGGGGCTGAGAGAGGGGTCATGGAAAGAAAGAGATGGAGTTGTGGCATAGCAGTGTGCCTCTGTTAGCTTGTCTTTCCTGCTTCATCCGACTAAAACAGTCATGCCTCCACACCATGACCCCTCTTCCCCGAGCAAAGATATGAATGACCAAAGCCCACCTTGGCTGCAAGCATTTGTTGGCAAGGCTAGGGTAGTCCCTACTGCAGCCAGGTGCCCCAGAGCAGCCATGGGGCTCCACTCTCTATAGACCGAAACATCTCACACTGGTGTGTAGCCAAACTCTCCTGCAGCAAGACAGCTGCTGGCTGGTCCTTCCCTGCGGGCATTTTTTTGAGCTTCTGCAGAGGAGATAAAAACCTGGCAACGTCATAACAACAGGCAGGGAGAAGGTAACACAGTCCACTGTACTTTTGGTTCTAGGCTATTTGGAATTTTTCACCTACAAAGCTCTAGAGATCTATTTTTTCTGCATTGATTCTTTTGGGTTAAACGGTGTCGCCAAACTCTACTCCTCCCATTCCGGTGTGTAACAAATGGTCAGTAATTATCACCTTTTTTTAGATCTCATGTTTTTCAGTCTGAGAGGAATGATGGAAAATGCTACTAAAATAAATTACACACATGTGTCTCCTGAAATTGGAACACAGCTACAGTAATTCTTTCCAAAGTTATTATCTCCTAGGTTTTCAGATAGGGAATTCCAGAACCTCACGGAGGGGTGGGTGGTGGTGGTGGTGGATTTTAACAACTATAATTCAAAGTTTGCCTATTGGGAATACAGTTTTCCCCAACCACTGAAATGGCATTCTTTATAGGTAATAAGAACCACCTTGTGGCTGCATCCTGTACATACTTCCTCTTTATTTTATAGTGTGCCTTTTATTAGAAATTAATGGTTGGGGCAGAAAAGATATAATGGAAAGAAATCTCGCCTTAACAACATAAGATAGTATGGAAAAAGCTTGCATTAAAAAAAAAAAAAGAAAGCCAACAAACCTATATTTGGCACTTATAATTTTATTATTCTGACTGTAACCCTGTCAGTAGTAACTTGGAGGACTACTTGTAATTCACCCAAGTCATACACGTGGCCTTAATTTGAAAGAACAATACTGTTTGTTGTTGCTCGTTCTTTTCTTGCCAATCTGTCCCGTTCAATTATATCCTTTACCATCAACGTCTAGTCTCAAGTATTCTGTGAGACTTCCTCTCCTCTTTTAAATTGCAAGACTTCAGTGTAGGTCCCACGTGATCTTTTATGCTGTCTTACCATGCTTTCCAGTTGTTTCATGGGTGTTATTTTTGTTTCCCCAGGTGCTTCTAGGCTTCAGTAATCTCAAATTAAATGAAATAATTCAACTTCACTTTATTCTTCCTTAATTCATTATTTTTATTAATAGGGGTTTCAACACCTAATATTTCAGCTGAAAACATTTTTTTTTTTTTTTGCCTATTAAGTGAACAAATTAATCTCTAGCATACCTTTAAGAGATCAGAGAATGCATTCCCACTTACTGGGGACTGGGCTCTACTGAACTACTTGACCACCAGAAAGTCCCACAAACTGTAGACTAAACAATTTTCATTAGAGCACCTTTATATCCCTGTGTATCATATCTGTCACCAATGAGGAAATGCTTTCAAACTGCTGATATACAACTTTTAAATCATCACCCATCGGGCGCCTGGGTGGCTCAGTTGGTTAAGCAACTGCCTTCGGCTCGGGTCATGATCCTGGAGTCCCGGGATCGAGTCCCGCGTCGGGCTCCCTGCTCAGCAGGGAGTCTGCCTCTCTCTCTGACCCTCCCCCGTCTCATGCTCTCTATCTCTCATTCTCTCTCTCAAATAAATAAAAAAATCTTTAAAAAAAAAAAAAAAAATCATCACCCATCAGAGACTATCAGCATAGTCCTGGTCAAATCATAGATATGAATATTAACAGTCCTTTTTTTCTTTTGTAACAGTCTTTATATCTGAATGGATTTCATTCAATTATACCAAACTCTACAAATAACATAAAATAAGCCAAATAGAAACACTGAATGGCCCCAAATTTATGCCAACTTGCAAAACTTTGCATGGGATTCTGATTTCAGGGATTCCTAAATTTAATATTACTTTTTCCCAAAGACAAATCCAGAAAGAGCCTCCTTTGGGCTTTGCTCATCTTGAGATTTGGGTAGTTGTAGGGGTCCCTCCTTAGAAGGTCCATCAGGCCTTCATCAGGACAGGAGTGACAAGCAAGGCACATACCTTAGGGCAGGATAAAAGGGACAAACAAGGCTATAAACTCCAGAAACAATTAGTGTAAGTCTTACAATTGAGGTAAACTCCCGAAACGATTAGCATAAGTCCTACGACAACTACGACCGGAAGCTAGACATGAACTCCATGACGAATTAGTCCTGTGATTCAGAATGAAATGCAGCTTAGCCCAGAGGTACTTTTCTCTTATACACCTATTTGGCCAATTAGGCAAGATGCCAAAATGGCACTCTTGCAAGACATTAGCAAAAAGTTTTTGTTCGATTTATTCTACCAACCGTTACTCATTATAAGTGACTCTAGTATCAAAAGTGATTGTTGCAACTAAATCAAAGTCATAACAATACTAAAATGAAACTTGGAGCAAGTCATTCCCAGTTACCATCTTTCTGGCTCTCCTCATCTATTGACCAAGTTCCCTGATCTAGCACACAAGGCCCTCCACAGCCTCACCTCCACCTCTTGCTTTCACTGTCTCTGTCCACTTTTCACCCCTTTCACTGGTGAAAGTAGCTGACTCTTAACTGCACACAACCATGCTATTTGGGACTCTGTGTGGACGTAGACTATTCTCTCCGGTATTTCTTTCCCCTACTACAGTTACCCAGCTAGCTCCTTCCTATGCATTCTTCAAGCCTCAGCCCAGTTGTCACCTCCTCCAGGAAGTCTTCCCAACTTCCCCAGACTTTGTAAAGTGCCACCAAATCTGGGCTCCCCTTGCAACTTGTATATATTTTTACCAGAGCTCTCACCACTTTGTGTAGAATAATTGGTTACTAACTGCCTATCCCACTACCTCAAGATCCTCAAGGGCAGGCACCACATTTATTCATGTTTGCAGTCACAACACCAACCACATTGTTGGCACTTAACAAATGTTAGCTGAATGGAAACACAAATCTTTTATAAGCAAATCAGGCTTAAAAACGTCACTGAAATAATTATTTTCTACTTCTGATCATGACTAAGAGGTGAACTCTGAGAAGATTTGAGGATCGCCTAATTCAGAAAAGGAACACAATGAACATTTAGAAATTAGATGCTTTTAAATATGCCTTTCAATGTATTAAATGGAATAAAAAGCAAGAAACTGTAAACCATCCACATTCTGTAAGCCCAAATCCACCTACTAAAATGTCCAAATTAAATAACTTTTCTTTTTTACTCTTTCCTTAAAATAATTATGTTAAAAATAGTCTCTCTCTCCCTGTTAATCTCACTAAGGAAACAGAACGAAGATCATCAAATGGGCTTTTACTGAAATACATGCTTGTTTTGGCTAACTTAAATCCTTTAAAAAAATTAGCGGTTGTAAAATTTTCCATATTACAGCTCAAAATAGAGAACTTTAAAGAAAAAAATGCTTATGGAAAGTATATTTGCGGTATAGGACTACAGTTTATACATAGCAAACCTTCTAGAATGAACTAGATGCTTCCTTTTTTCCCCGAAAACATTAAAAGAGGTTCTTTGCTATCAGAACTAAAATAGGCTCTTTTGAGTGTCATATTCAATATCTGATTCAATTCAATCAACTGATGACAATGAAAGATGTAAGTAAAACTTATGAAAAAAAATTTCTAGTGCTGGAGTTCCAGTCTTTGCCTCTGCTGATCTTTTTACATACCAAGAAACTTCATCAAGTTATGAAATATTCAATCTGGAAAAACTCCTGATTGTGTCTCTCTGAAAATTGATCTCTGTTGCTTGGTGTATTATAACTTAAGATGTGAAGATGTTTTCATTTTAACTGAAAGCATAAACAGCTTATCAAACAGTGTTCTGGAGTTTGAGAAAAGAAATTGATTTTCCACAGAGAGTAATATTTAGTCCCCAAATGAATTTAGTACACTGGCTTTACTAAGGAAATGCTTGGCTGTATCCATTCGAGAATCTCCTTGAGCGATAAATTTGATGATTTAGCCACATAAAACAAAACAAAAAAACCTTCTCTATTACATTTCTAGAAGTGTGTAAGGCCCTTATTTTTCTTGCAGTACAATGAGCTGATAAAACATTGGGTATTTTATATTTAAAAAGAAATGACAAAACCACACAGTAACATAAACAACCTGGTACCAATGTGTAATAAGAGATGCCAAGAAAAGTTTTTTTATTGTAGAGCATTGCTATTAGTATATATTTCTATTTTCAAAAATTGATTCTCATTTGTTTGTGATAAAAAGACCCCCGAGGCAAAGGACGGCTATGCCTGGGAATGGTCTGTAGTTATTTGAAGCCTTAACTATCACAAACTGTCATCTGTATCTGTTACATAGCTTGTATTTCCCTGCCCTCCTCTTGCCAGCATGCCAGCCAAATTCTTCTGTTTTCAAATTGAGTTTACATCATATACACTCCAGTTGTGTCTTGTCCACAGACCTTTCCTTCTCTAAATTTTGGTACTTAACATCAACATTTGGTATTAACGACCTTCTGTTGTTCATTGTTCTCCCCTAGAGTGCTAACTTACAAGACCACCTTGTCAACTCTTGTGTCCCCACGAATGACTTGCATATTTGCAAAATATGACCTAGAGGTATCCATTGCTATGCCCAGTAAGCCAAAGAATGAAATGCAGACTACACGGTCCCTTAAGACAAAGACAGATGATGTCATTTCATGCCCTTGTTAAGACTTTTGCACTCTGAGAATTCACCTGTAATCGCACAGGTGGCTTACCTTGTATCTGGTTTTAGATTTTCTACTGTGGAGAAGGTTTGATTTGTAATTTGTATGGATTTGTTCTTCCCACTGAATGACCCATTTTCTCTGGATATAACTTCATATTCTGAAAAGCGAAAAAGCCAACAAATACTTGTCTTTACCTCTCGGCTAATTTAATTGTTCTTAAGGTTAACAGTGTCATAAAGTCACTCTCATAAAAGTGAGCAATTTAGATTGCGGTTCTTGAGGTGTACTGATCTTACACATCAGCAATTCCCAGATGGGGATGGTCAGTGGATGACGAATGTCCCAAAGCATTTTGGGAGTTGCTCATTGACCATTTCTGCTTTCCCTTTACTGGAATACGGAAGGCCTGGTAACTGTGAAGACTGATGGTGCTCCTGTGGTAGCTTTGGACTGGTAACCAAAGATTCTGCTAGGCAAGTCAGACAGTCTGCTCTTGTTGGAATGCTCAGTATGGGGAAAGCACTGTATGAGAAGTGGTACTTGAGTAGAAGCCATGTTTATTTCTCCGTGGAGCTTTATTATACAGCTGGGGAAAAGGCCACTGCATTCATGGTGCTGCTACAAAAAAACTTTGGGTTTAAAATCATGCTGCAAATAACAGTTAACCAAATAGAGAATGACGGTTCATTATTTTGAACTATAGAATTATGGGATTTTTGTATCTACTGCTTATGTAAGTTATGAAAATTTTATACCTATTTCTTACATATGCCTTCTTGATAATTATCCTTTTTTTAAAAATTATGACCTTAAAGTTTGCATAGAGATCTCCATAAATTTCACTTAAAGGCATGTTTCTATGAACTTGCAGTACTAATCAAGAGAAAGTCTTTCAGATTAAGAACATAATTTATAAATTTGTCTGTTGGTTTTCCCTGCTGTCAATTGGGGTTCAGTTTAATGTATGTCACAAGATCATGCAGAGGATTAAAAACTCAAAAAACGACAAACAACAACAAACCCCATTCAAAATACACAAGTGGTAGCCACCAGGGAAAGTGGGAAGGCTGCAAAGGAGGTGGCAAGTTACTGGGCATTTCTGCTATTAGCACTGAGACCAAAGATGGGAGATGGCGACTGGAAATAAAACTGAAACTATGAAAGACTCAGGAAGACATAATCACCAATTTTAATTTGGGAAGGATTTTTAATAGTATATTTTAAAAATCAAAAAAGAGGATAGCTCTTTCTTAATAATTTTGTATGACTATCCTTCCAAAAATTCAAAATTAAACCAGAAGACAATGGCCATTGTACCTGGATACATTAGCACAGCTACCAAAGGACTAATGGCTTTTATTTAGTATTCCTTTCTCAGGCTCTTCTAGTCCCAACCTATCTCTCAGTTGGCTTTCTGTTCTCACAGAGGGTGGAAAGGTAAGGAAGGGGAGGACCCTGAATTCAAATATATCCATTTTATATCTTTTCCTCAGCTGTGAAGCAATATTTACTAGAAAAAGATGGGCATAATCAAAATATAAGTAAAATTGATTTTTTAAAAATGGAAACTGCTTGTTGGGTACAGGATTAGATGTGCTTCTGATATGAGGGACCCAAAACACTCATGTCTTTTCTATTAAAGGGCATGGGAGGGCTAGTTAGTCCCCTCTTAAAAAAAAAAAAAAGGAAACTGTATGGCTCAATGAAAAAAGACAGACCAAGTCACTTGCCTCGATCTCAGTCTCAGTTTTCCCATCTGTAAAATGCCAATAATATATCTTCATAGTTTTGCTTGTGGGGATTAAACTAGGAATATATGGAAGGTGCTTAATAGTATTTTGCATGTTTTTTTCAACAGGTGGTACCTATTATTGCTGTTGCTTTTATTATCCCTGAGTTGTGTTTTGAAACTAGGGTCACAAAAATTTGAAAGATTCCAATTGGAAAGGTTCAAGTGCTGCTTAATCACCCAAAGAAAAAATTATATCTCACTCCAGTTGACTATGCATGAAAGCAACCACTTTCAAAAACATCTTTGGCTTAGGATACTTCTCATCGACTGTGTAATATTCTTTTTAATATTACCCCAGGCTCTTCGTAAAAAAAAAAAAAAAAAAATTTAGAGAAACAAACTGAGGGTTCTGGAGGGGAGGGCGGTAGGGGGATGGGTTAGCCTGGTGATGGGTATTAAAGAGGGCAGGTATTGCACGGAGCACTGGGTGTTATAGGCAAACAATGAATCATGGAACACTACATCAAAAACTAATGATGTAATGTATGATTAGCATAACATAATAAAAAAAATTTAGAATTTCTCTCAGAATTCTAGCTTTTGAATGTATATTTTTGGGCTTTGTAAATACATCTTTCATTTGTAATGCTTTAAAGCAATCATAACTTTTTCATAAGTCCACCAACACCATAAAAATAGAATATTAATGTTTGGAATGAACATCTATAGACACATTCTGAGTATATTTTAGAAGGTAAAGACAGCCACTTAGTGTGTGTCCATATTTCTTTAAAATATGGAAAAAAATTAAAATATGAGATTTATAAATTCATTAACAGTAAAGATATAAGGAATCTATAAAGAACTAACACTGAATATTTGGTATTTTCCCCCCTCAGAGAGTATTATTGCTCTATTAAGAGAAAATTTACTTAACAAAACATAATCTGTTTATTAGAAAGATTGGAAAATTAGAGTCTGGTCATGAAAACAGAGCACAGCACATGAATTGGGAGTTTTGGACTTTTTAATCCATGTAGATAATCAATGCTTAGAGATTGTTTTTTAGATATTGGGATGGTAGCACCTACTGGCATAGTCCCAAGTAAAGAAGCAGGACTAGGCAAATCCCCAAGGAATATGGGCAATGGCTGGTTCTTTCTTAAAACAAAAGCAAGGTCTACATGATAAATGAAATTCACAAAATATGGGTAAATAAAAAAAGGCCAGCTAAGCAAAAATAAGCTGTTTATAGCAGAAATTGCCCAGACCAAACAGTTTTGTCTGAGGAAAAATAACTGCTGTTTTCCTCTTTATTCACAGAAAATCTTTTTGTCAGATGCTGAGTCTCCCACTCCCCACTGCCCCTGTGTACTTCCCTCTTTCCGTCCTGACAGCCTCTCAGTGGGCCCCTCTAGACCCTATCTACCTGTCCCAGGCATAGCAGGACAAGGATAGCAGAGGCTTTGTGTAATCCCCCTATATGCTGTATTCCTCTAGCTGATTCAGCCTCTTAGTCATTTCTCCCTCCTCTCTCGTTTGAATAACCTGTTCACTATGAATAAATTCCCATATAATAAATTCAAAGAATGACTCATTTCTTATTTTTCACAGTCCTTTTTAGAGGGATTAGGTGAGTGATAGCAGAATTAAAATTTCCTGAGATGAGCAGAAAATTGACCAGGATTAAAATTCTAAAAAAATTTCTCCAAAAATAATTGAACACTTTTCAGCCTACTGGAAACTTCTAGGTCAATCTAGAAATTGGGTTGGTGAAATGAAACTGTTTAAATATCATCAGTACTGCCAACTTCTCCTATGTTATCTGTAATTTTCTTGATAATGAAAAGATCAGATCTATCTTTATACTGTGAAAAAGAGTTCTGAGAGGAGATGGAAGGGATGCAACCTAAAGTGATCTGTTAAATTAACAGGAAGCCCATCACTGGGACACAGATGAACTTTTCCCATCATATGACACTTTTGGCAATACAGCTCTGCTATCCCTGAGATATATCTCATAGGACATAGTTTGACCCAGGTACCACACTCACATATCAATGCTTCCCACCAGAGTATCAGTCCTCATGCCATGATCTTACCAGTGACGGTATCATTTAGTGGCTTATCCCAGTCCAGGATGACAAATGAGGGACACCCTTCCACAGTGACCACAGTGAGGTTGGTAGGTGGGTTCTGCGGTGGGCTGGTGGCATTCCCCTCGGTGGCATCCTCTTTGGGGAACCGTTTGACAGAATCAGTGATGGAGCAGGGTCTGTTGTCAGGTTTTTGGATGTATCGCACATGAGGACCTAAGAGAGAAAGGACTCTGACATTTAGCCTTGTTTGAGTTTGTACCGAAGGTGGAGGTAAACTCAAATATATTTATCTGTATGAAGACATTTGGTCTCACATTATAAACAGATAGATGAAAGCAGTGATGTGGGTTGTTCAAACTTATGAAAATCTAGAATTCCTGTCTCTGAGATGCCTGATATGGATGTTGTAGCTGGTTTACTTTTCTAAATAGGTTTAACTTATGCTAATATCCAAAAGTAATTTGGTTCCCTAAGCATGTTTTAAACTGCATAATTTATGGGGCAGTGGAAAGAGTACTCAAGAGGGTGTTGCATTAGAAGTGGGGAATAATTAGCCCTATACTAAACACAGTTCTGGTCTCACCTAATAAATTTTAAAAGCCAGACTCAAAAGGGTCAAGTGGTTTCAAGTAAATTAACTACATCCAGGACAAAATTCAAGAATATTTTAGATTAAAAAAACATATCCAGCAACAAGGTGAAATTACAGGAAAATATTACCCATAATGAGGAGAAAATAAATTCTTTGAAATCAATTTAGAATTTGCATGGATGTTAGTCATCAGACAAGGACAATAAAACAATTATTATCACTATAATCCATGTAATAAAAAAATTAAGACATGAGAGGTATAAAAAAGACCGAAATCAAATTTCTAGAGGTGAAAGCTAAAACTTGTAAGATGAAAAACATACAGGATGATAGTAGTACAGAGATGATATTGCAGAAAAAGATTAGTGAACTTGAAGACATAGGAATAAAAACTACCCAAAATAGAAGTGGAGAGAAAAAAAGAATTAAAAATAATGAACAGAGCATCAGTGAGTTGTGGGACAATTTCAGGCAGTACAATATACATGTAATTTTAGTATCTGAGTAGAAAACAGGCAGAAAAAATATTTGAAGAAATAATGGTCAAAAATTTCCAAATTGGATAAAACCTCTAAACTCACAGATCCAAAAAATTTCAAAGAAACCTAAGCACAGCAAACGTGAAGAAACTATATCAATATAATTGTTTTGCAAAACCAATGATAAAGAGAAAAGCTTTTAAAGGAGGCAGAAAAAACGCATCGTATATAGAACAATAGAGATAAGGATTATGGCAGATCTCTCATTGGAAAGAATGAGAGTGAGAAGGCATTGGAGCAACATCTTTAAATACTGGGAAAAAAAACCGTATCATCTAGAATTTTATAACTAGTGAAAATATCCTTTTTTAATAAAAGTGAAATACCTTTTAGACATACAAAGACAGACAGAATTCATAACCAGCAGACCCACACTACAAGAAAGATTAAAGGACATTCAGGCAGAAGGAAAATGATGCCAGATGGAAATATGAATCCACACAAAGGACAAAGAGCACTGGAAATGGTAAATATATACATAAATATGCACAATATTTTTATTTCTTTCTAAAAGATAATTTACTATTTAAACATAAAAAAATTACAGTTTAGTGTGATGTATTAACATGTAAAAGTAAAATGTATAACAACGATAGGCCAGGAGGAGAGAAAAGTTGCTTTACTAATATAAGGTTCTTGCACTATTTGTGAAGTTGTAGAAGCAAGAATACACAATAGGGAAGACAGTCTCTTCAATAAATAGTGTTGGGCAAACTAGACAGCTACATGCAAAAGAATGAAACTGGACCACTTGCTTACACCATACACACACAAAAAAACTCAAAGTGGATTAAAGATCTAAATGTAAGATCTGAAACCATAAAACTAGAAGAAAACATAGGCAGTAATTTCTTTGACATCAGCCTTAGCAACATTTTTCTAGACATGTTTCCTCAGGCAACTTAAACAAAAACAATCAGGATTACATCAAAGTAAAAAACTTTTGCACAGCAAAAGATATTATCAACAAAATAAAAAGGCAACCTACTGAATGGGAGGAGATACTTGCAAATGATATATCTGATAAGGGTTTAATATCCAAAATATATAAAGAATTTATACATCATGACACTAAAACCCACAAATACTCCAATTAAAAAATGGACGCAAGACCTGAATAGACATTTTTCTAAAGGAAGATATTCAAATGGCCAACAGACACATGAAAAGATGCTCAACAACACTAATCATCAGGGAAATGCAAATCTAAACTACAATGAGATATCATTTTACACCTGTCAGAATAGCTAGAGTAAAAAAAAAAACAAACAAGAAATAATAAGTGTTGGAGAGAATATGGAGAAAACCCTTTTGCCCTACTGGTGGGAATGTAAATTTGTGCAGCCACTGTGGAAAACAGTATGAAGTTTCCTCAAAAAATTAAAAACAGAAAACAGAAATATGTATGATCCAGTAATTCCACTACTAGGTATTTACCCAACGAAGATGAAAGCACTAATTTGAAAAGATACATGCAACCCCATATTTATTGCAGCATTATTTACAATAGCTAAGATATGGGGACAACCCCAGTGTCCATTGACAAATGAATGGATAAAGAAAAATGGTACATATATATAATGGAATATTCCTCAGCCATAAAAAAGAATGAGATCTTGCCATTTGCAACAACATAGATAGACCTAGAGGGTATTATGCTAAGTGAAATAAGTCAGACTGAGAAAGACAAGTACTGTATGATTTCACTTCTATGTAGAATCTAAAAAAAAAAGAAAAAAACCCTCACAAATGAACAAACAAAAAGCAGAAACAAATCCATAAATACAGAAAACAAACTGATGGTTGCCAGAGGAGAGGTGAGAGGATAGGCAAAAATGGATGAAGGGGAGTGGGAGATAGAGGCCTCCAGTTATGGTATGAATACAACATGAGGATAAAAGGTGCATCATTGGGAATATAGTCAATGGTATTGCAATAATATTGTATGGTGACAGACGGTAACTACATTTGTAGTGAACATAGCATAATGTATAGAAAAGTTGAATCACTATGTTGGCACACCTGAAACTAATGTTACATTGTGTGTCAACTATACTTCAACTAAAAAAAATCCAAAAGGCGGCTGGAAAAGAGGAAAAAGGGAACAAAGGATAGCGGGGACAAAGAGAAAACAAATAGCAAGATGAGATAGATTTAAACCTAACTGTATCATTGGTCATGTTAAATATAAGGTTCTAAACACCCAAAATAAAATGAAGAGATTATTAGATAGGATAACAAAGCAAGAACCAACTATATGATGCCAATGAGAAGCACACTTTAAATATACAGAGACTAATAGATTCAGACTAAAAGGATGAAAAGAAGAGATACATGGTAACATTTACCAAAAGAAAGCTTGAGTGTATATTTAATATTAACAAATTAGATTTCAGAGTAAATAATATTACCAAAAAAAGAAAAGATAATTTTATAATGAAAAAGTATCAGTTTATCAGTTTATTAGAATCCTAAGCAGTTTAAGTCTATATCTAAATATAGACCTTTAATATAAATGTAGCAAAAACTGATAGAAATGTAAGTAGAAATAAATCCACAATTATAGTCAGAGATTTCAATTTCTTCTGTCTTTAATTGATAGAACAAATAGACAGAAAATCACTAAGGATATAAAAGAATTGCACAATACAACCAAACAATTGGACCTGACACCTATATAATACTTGTTATGTAAATTGTTTCCCAAAAATTCCTGTGTTGAAGCCCTAACTCCCAATGTGACTCTATTTGGAGTTAGAGTCTTTAGAAATGTAAATGAAATTAAATGAGGTCATATGGGTGAGATTCTAATCCATGGTGACTGGTGTCCTTTATAAGAGAAGACACCAAGGATGTGTGCACCCAGAGGAAAGGCCATATGAGGACACAGTGAGAAGGTGGCCCTCTGCAGTCAAGGAAAGAGGCCTCAAAAGAACCCAAATCTGACGATACCTTGATTTCAGACTTCTGGCTTCCAGAACTGTGAGAAAATAAATTTTTGTTGTGTAAACCACCACATTTGTGGCATTTTGTTATGGAAACCCTAGCAAACAAATACAACATTCCTCTTAAGAATAGCAGAATACACATTCTTTTCAAGTACACACAGAACATACACCAAGATAGACCATATTCTGGGCCATAAAAAAGTCTCAATAAGGGGCGCCTGGGTGGCTCAGTCATTAAGCGTCTGCCTTCGGCTCAGGTCATGATCCCAGGGTCCTGGGATCGAGCCCCGCATTGGGCTCCCTGCTCAGCAGGAAAGCCTGCTTCTCCCTCTCCCACTCCCCCTGCTTGTGTTCCCTCTCTCGCGCTGTCTCTCTCTGTCAAATAAATAGGTAAAATCTTTAAAAAAAAAAAAGTCTCAATAAATTTAAAAGGATTTAAGTATGTGACAGAGCATGTGATAACAATGGAGTTATGTTGGAAATCAGTAACAGAATAATCTCTAGAAAAATCTCAAAATATTTAGAAATTACATACTTCTAAATAATCAATGAGTTGAACAAATCAAAAGGGAAATTAAAAAGTATTCTGAATAGAGTAAAAATGAATATACAGCATAACAAAAAGTTTTGGATGCTGCTTAAATAATATCTAGGGGAAAATCTGTAGCAGTAAATGCCATATTCAAGAAGAGAGGAATCAAATCAGTGAAGACATATTTTACTTTCAGGAATTAGAAGAGTAAATTAAACCACATTAAGCAGAAGAAAAAATGATAAAGATCAGAGTAAGTAGACAAAATCAATGAAACAAAAAGTTGACTTTTTCAGAAGTCAAAAAAATTAATAAATCTACAGCCAGACTGATTAGGCAAAAGAGAAAACTTACACATTATCAATAACAGGAATGAGAGAGGTGACATCACTACAGATTCTACAGATATTAAAATAATAAGAGAATATTAAGGACAACTTTATGTCAATAAATTTGACAACTTGGATGAAATGGACTAATAAATTGAAGACAAACATTACCAAAACTCACTAGGGAAGAAAAATACTCTTCTTCCCTACTAAACATTTAAGGAAGAAGCAATACCAATTCTAAACTCTGAAACTGAGGAGGAGAGTTCAGCATTATTCTGAGACTAAAACTTGACTTAGACGTTACAGAAAAAGAAAAATACAGACCAATATCCTCCACTGAATACAATGCTAAACAGAATTTTACCAAATTAAACCCAACAACATATTAAAATGAGAATACGTCGTGACCTAGTGGAGTTTGTCCCTGGAATGAAAAGTTGAAAATTCAAAAACAATTACTTCATTACATTAAGAAACTAGTAAAAACATTATCATCTTCATAAAGGCAGAAAAATCATTAAACATAATCTAGCACTCATTTCTGATAACAGTTACCACCAAAGCAGACATAGAAGGGAATTTTCTCAACCCAATAAAGGGCATCTATGAAAAACCTATGAGGTAACATCGTACTTAATTACATTCAGGTGAGAGGATGAATGCTTCTTCCATAAAGTCAGGAATAAGAAAAGGATATCCATCCTCACTGTAACTATTCAGTATTTTACTGGACGGTCTTGCTAGTACAATAAGGCAAGAAAAAAGTCACCCAAGTTAGAAAGGAAGAAGTAAAACTTTACTCTCAGATGGCACGATTCTGTGTGGAGAAAATCCAATGGATCTACATAAAAGGTACTGAGTTTTACATGGTTTCAGGATATAAGAATTAATTTTTCTATATATTAGCAATGAATAATTAGAAATTGAAATAAAAATACTATTTTTATGGTTTTCTGTACACTGAAAACTAAAAACATTGGTGAGAAAAATTGAAGAGCCAAATAAATGGTAAAATACGCCACTGTTCATAGGTAGGAAGACTTAACTGTTGTATAGCTGTCAATTTTTCCCAATTGACCTATACATTCAATGCAATTCTAATAAAAATATAACCAGGCTATTTTTTAGATATTGATAAGCTGATTCTAAAATTCAGATGTAGATACAGAGGACCCAGAATCATCAATACAATACCAATACCACAATAACACAAACATGGTGGTATTGATGTAAAGGCAGATAAATAGATCAATAGAACAGACTAGAGAGCTAAAACAGTTCCCCAAATATATGGACAATTCATTTTTGACAAAGGTACAAATGAAATTCCATGGAAAGAATAGTTTTTTTCAACAAATGATGCTGGAACAATTTTATGCACACAAGCAAGGAAACTGATTTGTTTCACACCTTGTATCATATACAAAATTTGACACAATATGGATCATAGACCTAAATGTAAAAGTAGAAAACGTCTAGAAGGAAACATCAGATAAACTTCTAGAAGGAAATGGAAGAGGTCTCTATGACCTCTGATTGGTCAATGATTTCTTAAATACAACACCAAAAATATAGTATATAAAAAAAACAAATTAATAAACTGAGATTTATTAAAATTAAAAAACAGAATCCACACACTGGGAGCAAATATTTGTAAAGCATGTATCTGAAAAAGGTCTTCTACCAAAAAATACAAAGAATCTCAGGTAGCCTGGTGGCTCAGTCAGTTAAGTGTCCTACTCTTGATTTGCACTCAGGTCATGATCTCAGGATCCTGGGATCAAGTGTTGGCAAAGATGTGGAGGAATTGGAACTCTCATACACTGCTGACAGAAAGGTTAACAGCACAACTACTGTGAAAATCAGTTTGTAGTTTCTTAAAATGTTAAATATACACTCAAATGATCTAGTCACTGCTCTTGTAGGCATTCATCCAAAAGGAATGAAGGCATATGACTATACAAACACTTGTACATGAATGGTCATAACAGCTTTATTGGTAATGTAAAAAAATTAGAAAAAACCCAAATGTCATAAACAGGTTTAATAAATAATTATATATTCATATAATAGGATACCAGTCAGCAATAAAAGAAATGAACTATTGATACATGTTGCAACATGGATGAATCTTAAAATAATTATGCTGAATGAAAGAAACCAGACCAAAAAAAGTTCATACTGTATTTTTTCATGTACATAAAAATCCACAAAATGTATACATATTTATAGTAAAGCAGATCTGTCATTATCTAGGAACTAAAGATTTGGTGGGAGGAGTGAGATGGAGGAATTATAAAAGTACGTGATGACACTTTTGGAGGTGGTGCATGTATTTATTATCTTGATTGTGATGATGGGTTCATGGGTGTATACATATGTTAAGACTTATCAAATTCTACACTTCAGAAAAAAAATATTACAAAAAGGAAATACTGGGCTCTATATCATAGCTCTCTTACTGTGGTAGACTTGATACTGTTCAAAAATATTCTCTATATCCATGGAAGGAGTATACTTCCCCAATCTTTGATTTGAGGTGGGCTATGGGACTTTCTTTGGCCAATGGATATTGGCAGATACAAGGAGAAGCTTGAAATGCTGTTGTGTTTCTGAACTCCCCACTCTTGACTTTGTATTGTAATTAAAATGGCTCCTCCTGAGTCACTGTTGGTCCTTCATCCTTAGCACCAGAATGAAAAAATGTGGAGCGTAGCTGAGCCCAAGCCACAGGAGGCCCAGCTGTACCTGCTGTTGGAAGCAGAACCACTTAGTAAAGCACAACCTACTGACCCTCAGGTGACTTGGAAACACATGAGAAATAAATCCTTATTAGACTATGCTACTAAGATTTTGCAGTTATTACCAGCAAAAGCTAATGGATAGTTCAGTCTAAGACAGCCTTGTTAAAATTCAGATTTGGAGCCAATCATACCTACCTTTGAATCTGGGCTTCCCAAGAGGATCAGTTTCTCTCGTTGGACTTGAGCTAAAGTCAGTTATATTACCTGAGAATAGAAGATAATAAATGATTTTAGCAAAATATAAAAAAGCTTCTCAAGAAAATGAAAAGTATTAAAAACTATAAATATTTAATATGCTTCCTGGTCAACTGCTTGTGTATAATTATAATATCTGTCCACAATAAAAGGCCTTTAGGGGCGCCTGGGTGGCTCAGTTGGTTAAGCGACTGCCTTCGGCTCAGGTCATGATCCTGGAGTCCCAGGATCGAGTCCCGCATCGGGCTCCCTGCTC